CGGGCATTGGCACGCTCTTCCCCCTCCTGGCGCTTGCTGTCTTCAAGCAGAAGTGTCATGTTTTGGGGTGATTTCTTGATTTCACGCTTGTGAAACCAGTGCATTGCTCCTCTGGGTTGGTTAAGGTGAGAATTAAAAACTTGTTTTAAAAAAATGATGGCTATATGTTGGGCTCTGGTGTCCTTTGAACTGCGTTGGCGGTTCGGATGTATCGGGTAGAAGTGCAAGTGCTGGAAGGCGGCTCAGGTGGCGCTGCCGGTGCCAGCGCTCCGGCCGTGTGAGTCGGAGATCTTGTGTTACTGGTCTTAAACCGACCCGAGCCCCATGTGCTGCTTCTCCATTTCCCCCCAGCTTGGAATGGCCCGGTCTCCACCGTCGCATCCCTTCTTGGCAGCAACATGCTTTTAGATTGGCTGAAGTTGGGAGTAATACTGTGCCTTTGGTTTGGACAGGGGACATATTCTGCCTGCCGAGTGGCCTGTAGCATGCGCCTGTTGGTACAAAGGTGTGATGGACTCTGAGATCTGCATGGCAAGCTCCTCCATCCCCCGGCACTCAACTAGGCCAGAAAATGGGCTAAAACACAGCCCCCAGCTGCAAACCGGGTGCTGGATTGTGTCTGGGCTGAGCACCCCTGCATAAACACCCTGGACGAGATGATGTGCCACTGGAGGCGTGCAGCCTGGTTTTCTGCTACCTGGCACTAGGTCAGGTAGTTGTAAAATTCCTGCCCAGCCCCAAACAAAATCCCTGTAGTGAGTCCTCTGTGTTAGCGCACGTTCGTGCTGGGCTGGGCTGATGCTGTGAGCTGGGTGCGGAGAAAACTCACCCTGAAAAACCCACTGAATCAACAAAATCCGAGCATGACCCACGCCAAGGATTTTCTTGCAGCGCGGAGGACCGTAGTTTACTTTCCGCCATGGGGTGCCCTCCTGTTCCAGCCTGTTCCTTCCCCACCCCGCTGAGATGCTGCCTTGCTGCCCGCTCCGATGGGACCTGCCTTTCCTCTGTGTGCGAAGACCCCCGTGCCGGTAAAGGACAGTGCCCTCGCCATGCCAGAACTGGAAAACTTACCACCTTCTCCTTTCCTTTGCAGTGAGCCTGGGGGAAGAGAGTGCCCAGGTGCAGATTGCCTCCACCTCACCTATTCTTCCCACCGCTCATGGTGAGCTCTCACGGGCCAGTGGAGCGGAGGGGAGAGCCGCTGCACTGAGCTGGGACAGCACGGGTGAGGCCACGGGGCATTTGACCGGCGGGCTGTGGTGGCTGGGGGTCCTCGCCACCCTGCGGTGGAGACAACCAACTCCTGCCAGGTAGATGCCCGCAGGGGAGAGGACAACTCCAGCTGAACTGATGCGTCTCGGCACCTGATACCAGGCTCAGGTAAGGGCATATCGCTTGGAGCCGGGTTGCATTTCCATCCTCCCTCCTCTGAAGTCAGAAACTGTCTCTGGAGCAGATGAGAATCGCCCCGAGAGCCGTTGTGTGCTGTGGGTACACGTGCTAATAAATCTGCGAGATCTCATCTGTGATGATGCTGGATGCTCTGGTTTGTTGGGACATTGCTGGTGGCGTCAAAGTGAGTTGCAGTGGAGGTTCTCACTTGGGTGTTCCCAGCGCCTCTGCTAAGGGAGGTGAGCGTGGTTTTACCCAGTGCAGCATCCAGTGCGGTTTTGGATACAATGCAAGTTTACTGGGACAGGAGCTCATCTGAATTTTCTGTAACGCATCTGCGACTCATATAAAGTGATCTGTGGGCATTCATGTTCAAAAGACCCTGAGACAGTTAAAACATAAAACTCCTTGCAATTCAGCTGGCTTAGTGCTCCTTACACTCTTTTAAAAAAAAAAAACTTGCTTGTGTGCTCTAGATTTTTTGTTGTAGTCAAGGAAATAAGCATGCAAACAGGATCTCCGGTGTCTTGGTTCATCCTGCTTGATAGTAATTTCATTCCTGAAGTCGTAATTCACTTGGCGAGTGCAAGTCTGATTTCCTTTTTGGTAGCAGGGTTGTGAGTGCGTGCTGGATTTGGGCTAAGATTGGTGATGTGTGGTTTTGAAGCTGGTGCCTGGCCAGGGTGTTTGCAGTCTGGGTTTGTTAATGAGAGGAGCTGCAGATGGGGATCGGCAGAAGGCCTGAAGTCCTCAATGGAAGCGCATCGAGTGTGTTGGCCATTTTTGGATTGAAATTTGGTTTTCTAGTAAAAAATACGGTGGTGGGGACGCTGGCCTGTCTTGTAGCAAGACCTTGGGAACAGCTTTACTTCCGCGTGGGGAGCCAGGTCTCGCGAAGCAGAAGCTGTGCCTGCAGCTGGCGGCGCATGGCCGTCACTTCCTGCGGCTTGTCACCTCCCAGCCACGCAGCCCTCCATGCTGGCACCCGCCTGCAGCAGCCCGCGGCTCCTCCTGCCTGTCTCGGGAGGCTCTGAGATTTCCACGGGCTGTGGCGATGCAGTCGAAGCAGACCCAGAGCCGTGCTAGTTTTGGCTGTGCTTGGCAGGTATGTGCAGTGGTGTAACCCTGTGGCTTTGCTTTTGACAGGCTTTAAGCACATGGGAAAAGAGTTTCTGATGACAGCTCCCCTCAGCTCATAGCTGCTGACTGTGCCCCCCAAATTACACCAGGCAACGGGGAGGGGGAGTTTGCTGTGAGCTGATAGCCTGCATGGTGAGGTGCCTGTCTCATGCACTTAAAAAAACAAACAACCCTGATATTACTTTATTCAACTTTTTGCATCTTGCTTTTAGACGCTCTGTAAGCGGACTGTTGCACTGCTTTGTATGGCTGGGTTTAATCCAGGGCATGGAAGCACACGAGTCACTGTTACCACTAGTAGTGGCTTTACAAGCGAGAGTAGTGCTTTGCTGGTAAGTGATGTAGACTGCAGGTGTGCCTCATGTGAGGGTCTCACCTCTTAGCAAATGTTGTATAAGCATTTGCACCCGTAGAGGTGCGTAAGCATTTCCTTTAAGCCTGTTCCCCTAAAAGAAAAATTGTAGGCTTATACCTTGGATGGCTAAAGATATAAAATGGGGTGTTAACATGTGCTTCTAAAATAGAATATGAAACAGGAATGACGACTTCGTGAGTTTGGCAGTGGTAGATGTGGTTGTAGTAAGTACGTACCTTTTTGACTTTATTCCACAGCAGTAGTTTCAGTCTGATACAGGCCAGTGTGGCATTTAAGGGTGGTGTGTCAGAATTTGTTGGGTTTTTTTCCTCCTAACAGCAGTCTCTATTAGTAGTTAATTGGGCACATTCAGGACTCCCAACACACCTTCATTTCTCCCTTTTTCAATGCACAGCATGCAGAAACAAAATCATGTATGTTTCCATGGGCTTGGGTGCAGCTGGACAGGAGAATTGTATGGTGCTGTGAGAGGTTACTGAAGCAAAAAATGCAAATTTTAAAAGTTTTGCTCTGGGGATAGAGCATGCTGAGAAGGGGTGCAGGTGGTTGAGATGACTGTAACATAAGATTCTGCAACTCAACTGTATTTGGCTGTACGCCTGCATCATGCTTGCCTTTAATTTGCTCTAACTGTGGATGCAGCTGGAATGGAGAAATAACCAAAATGTATAGCCTGTAATCTTAAGAGGCTTGAGTAGAAACTTTTCTATAGTATAAAACATTTAAAAATTTGGTTCCAGCACATCCCTAAATCCAGCCCAAGGTTGAGAACATGATCCTATGCTGTACTTCCTAAAAAGAGAGGATTTTACTGACATTTTAATTTTCAAAAGCCCTTTTTGCAAGTGACTCTGGATCTACATTTCACCTTGTAGCAAAATGGTGAAGTTGAACAATACAGGCTGATGCTCGTGCAGCCTGACAGTCTAAAACCTGTGTAAAACCAGTACAAAAACATGTAAAACTTTTATACTTTCCTTGTAAAGATGCAGAAGGGGCTTGAACTCTTGTACTCTTTGCTGGGTAAAGAACTGCCTGGATGGTCGAGCTCAGAGAGTTGTGGTGAATGGCATTAAATCCAGTTGGCGGCTGGTCACAAGCAGTGTTCCCCAGGGCTCAGTACTGCGGCTGGTTCAATATCTTTATTGATGACCTGGATGAGGGGATCGAGTGCTCCCTCAGTAAGTTTGCAGATGACATCAAGTTGGGTGGGAATGTTGATCTGCTGGAGGGTAGGAAGGCTCTGCAGAGGGATCTGGACCGGCTGGATCGATGGGCCGAGGCCAACTGTATGAGATTTAGTAAGGCCAAGTGCTGGGTCTTCTACTTGGGTCACAACAACCCCGTGCAATGCTACAGGCTTGGGGAAGAGTGGCTGGAGAACTGCTCATCATAAAAGGACCTGGGGGTGCTGGCTGATAGCCAGCTGAATATGAGCCAGCGGTGTGCCCGGGTGGCCAGGAAGGCCAACAGCGTCCTGGCCTGTATGAGAAATAGTGTGGCCAGCAGGAGTAGGGAAGTGATTGTAACCCTGTACTTGGCACTGGTGAGGCCGCACCTTGAATACTGCGTTCAGTTTTGGGCCCCTCACTACAAGAAGGACATTGAGGCGCTGGAACTTGTCTAAAGAAGGGCAATGAAGCTGGTGAGGGGTCTGGAGCACAAGTCTTATGAGGAGCTCAGGTTGTTTAGTCTGGAGAAGAGGAGGCTGAGGGGAGACCTTATTGCTCTCTACAACTCCCTGAAAGGGGGTTGTGGTGAGGTGGGTGTTGGTCTCTTCTCCCAAGTAACCAGCGATAGGATGAGAGGAAATGGCCCCAAGTTGTGCCAGGGGAGGTTTAGATTGGATATTAGGGAAAACTTATTTACTCAGAGAGTGGTCAAGCATTGGAACAGGCTGCCCAGGGATGTGGTGGAGTCACCATCACTGGAGGTGTTCAAAAAACGTGTAGACGTGGCACTTCAGGACATGGTTTAGTGGGCATGGTAGTGTTGGGTTGATGGTTGGACTTGATGATCTTGAAGGTCTTTTCCGACCTTAATGATTCTGTGAAGAGACTGAAAATTCAGCAGCTTTTGCTCAAGTGAGTTGCTTATTAGCATCACCATAGCTAGTCCATTCAAAGGCTGGGAAACTGCTTTCTGGCCAAGGTCCCAGCAGCAGAACTGCTTTGCAAAGGAGGCCTCAGAGGAGTCAGATCTGGAATCATGGTTGCAGTGAGTTTCTGGGAGGGCATCTCAAGACATGCTAATGTGCAACCACCTGCACCCTCTGCAGGGCCCATCAGCTGAGCCTTTGATGTCTCAGCTCCAGTCCTTAGACCACATCCATTTGCATTTCTGATGGATTAAATTCTGCGTACAAGTCTTGCATCCTGGTGGAGTTTAATGGAAGTTTGTTGCTGTTCCGTGTAAATTGAGCAGCGATGAGAAGAGGACCTGGTGGTGAGCAGAGGGCTGCAGATATGCCCTTGGCAAGTGACCTCTGTGAAAAGAGGTGGCAGTGTCTGTGCCTTCTGGTACTGGTGCAGTGGGAGCTGGGCAGGGTGATCGCTGATGGGTTTATATGCAGGAGACGTCGCGCTGTGGCTGGGGGCAGCAGGAGCAGCGCTGCCGCGGGGCTGTGGGAAACGCGCAGTTCCTCTTCTGGGCAGCGGGCGGGGTTGCAACACGCAGGTTGGGTTGACTGGTGGCCAGAGGTTCCCATGCTCCCAGCCAGGCTGGTCCCACCGGGTGCCACCCTATGTGGGGCAGCAGGAGCTAAGCAGATCTTACTGAAAAATTACGGGATTTTTGGGAGAGGGCTATAACAGTAAATCTGATTTATGGATAACAGTCTTTGCACCAAGTCTTGGATTTTTGATGCAGACACCTTCTTTCCACTGCCAATGCTTGAGATCGCAGCTGGTGAATTAATTTGAGGAAAGTTGTTCTCATCCAAAATTTGGATATTTTGTTTCAGGTTTGCTAATTCAATGCAGGTAGGCAGCAACATGTGTTTTCATTAAAGCTCTTTAGGCTTACAGTTGCTGGGATTAATTTTTACTTCCTTAAATAGTAAACTGGAAGCTGCAAGTTTTAGTGTGAGGTGACAAATTGTGGGTTTTTTCAACTCATTCTTTTTAAAAGGATCTAGCTGGTAACTTTGTTTCCCAGTTGAATTTAAGTGTACATGGCTTGGGGCTTTCTGTTACTTGTATCCTAGTAAATTTGTCTAATACCATTCCCGCATTGTTCACATTTTCTTACCATTCCTCTTCATTGCTGCTTCACGTTGTGTATTTGTCATGGAAAAAAACCACCGGTTTGCTGGGAAAGTACAGTACTCACATGAGAAAATGGGTGGCAGGCTTGAGAAGGTTGTTTGAGTGGTGTATAAAAATAAAAAAAGTCTTCAGTCTTATGTAGGTATGTGGTGGGTTGGCCCTGGTGGGTTGGCCCTGGCTGGATGCCAGGTGCCCACCAAAGCCGC